TTTCATTGTTCGAGTCAGTCACAAAATTCGTCACATGTTTATCTTGTGACATTTCCTCGTTGTCTTCCTCGGGGACATCTACAATTGTATCAACCCCTTCTTGATCCTTGTCATCTTCAACTGTTAATTCATTAAGAATAGGCCACCTTGCTAGAGTTGCATCCGTCTCTGTGTCCATGATGCCAACATCAAGGTCATTTTCCTCATCCTTATCATGATCATCATGATTATCATTATCAATGTCATCAGAAGCATCATCATACCCATAGCAATCACAGTCTACCGGCTTCAGTTTACATCTGTGGCATTTTGGAACACGACAGTTGTTTTGAAGATGTCCTTGGTTCCCGCAGTTTCTACATACAATGTTTGGACACATCTTTTTTTCGTGTTGGTCTGAAAGGCAGTGGTAGCACACTTTGATTTGCTCGTTGTGAATAACTCTGAAAAAATCAAAACCTTCATGTGTCCTGAATTTGACGCTATAGGGAAGACTGCGAATCCCTGTTGGAAATTTTACTTGTGTATATCTTGTACCATCTTCCCAATTAGTGCCATGGATTTTCCTCCTGTGGATGGTATCCACTTCAATTATTCCAAACGCATGTAGGACGTTTCTGATTTCCTCATCTGTGGTATAGCTGGGCAAGTTCATAAATGAAACTACAACTCTGTTATTCATAAGAGGCGAAAGTTTGTATATTTCATGATCAACAACAACAGACTCTCCAAGTGATTTTACTAGCGCATTTTCCGCTAGAGTAATTTCATAATAATTGTTGTTTCTAGGTGTACAGCAGTACACAGTATTGTCTCCCAGTTCTTGCTCTAACACCTTGCAAAGCTCAAATGCTTTAGGGCGAATCTGGTTGTCATAATGAACCCGAACAATGTTTTCTTTTTGATAGACACGATGGCGGCCATTGTTGTTGATGACCTGACTAGGGGGTGGCCTTTGCCCCCCAGCCTGGCGGCTCATGGTTTCTATTTCCTCCAATTACACGTTCAGATGTAATCTTGAAACATATATGAACACACCTTCATAATAACAGTCAAATATTTCCAAAAGTTGAAGTACTTACAATAAATAGCAGAGCACTTGCAAATTGCTTCCACGTTGCGCCTCAACAAGGGAGGTCTACCGCCTGGGTGAAAGCCAGGAATCCTAACCACTAGACCACATTGGAAGCTGACAGATGAGGGAAATGTAAAACGAGTTACCACTAGACTTTATTCCTATTGTGCGTGTGAAAGTTGGTGTTGTAGATTAGGATGTTTAAGAGATGACGAGCTGACATTAATAAATATCTTCTTTGTATCATGAGCTAGCTTGAAGTTGATATCAGCATATTGTAGCAGGTATTTGCGCTCACAGTGTTCATCTGTAAAACGTGAAAGGGAGAAATATCAGTCATTCAAGTTGACAAAACACAAGTGCGTCCCTGGGTGGGCTCGAACCACCAACCTTTCGGTTAACAGCCGAACGCGCTAACCAATTGCGCCACAGAGACCGAACGTATGTGTATGGAGTGACTTTGAGATGTGACTGGTGTCACGGAAGTGAAGTACTGTTGAAGAAGGGAAAGTCTCATGGTGCGTTCCATCTCTGAATTTCCAGGCGGTGGATTGTGTTGCACAATAACACACTGGCTGACTTGATGCATTTACTGGAAGATGTGGACGTTAGGTCATCGATGCACTTACATGGATGACTAGAAATGCATGCTTTTTACTTATGATTGTGAAAATGAGAAAAGTATAATTATTCAAGTTGAGCTCATTTTCTTGTCAGATGGAAAAGAAATTGTTCCAATGCCGGGAATCGAACCCGGGCCGCCTGGGTGAAAGCCAGGAATCCTAACCACTAGACCACATTGGAAGCTGACAGATGAGGGAAATGTAAAACGAGTTACCACTAGACTTTATTCCTATTGTGCATGTGAAAGTTGGTGTTGTAGATTAGGATGTTTAAGAGATGACGAGCTGACATTAATAAATATCTTCTTTGTATCATGAGCTAGCTTGAAGTTGATATCAGCATATTGTAGCAGGTATTTGCGCTCACAGTGTTCATCTGTAAAACGTGAAAGGGAGAAATATCAGTCATTCAAGTTGACAAAACACAAGTGCGTCCCTGGGTGGGCTCGAACCACCAACCTTTCGGTTAACAGCCGAACGCGCTAACCAATTGCGCCACAGAGACCGAACTGATATGTATGGAGTGACTTTGAGATGTGACTGGTGTCACGGAAGTGAAGTACTGTTGAAGAAGGGAAAGTCTCATGGTGCGTTCCATCTCTGAATTTCCAGGCGGTGGATTGTGTTGCACAATAACACACTGGCTGACTTGATGCATTTACTGGAAGATGTGGACGTTATGTCATCGATGCACTTACATGGATGACCAGAAATGCATGCTTTTTACTTATGATTGTGAAAATGAGAAAAAGTATAATTATTCAAGTTGAGCACATTTTCTTGTCAGATGGAAAAGAAATTGTTCCAATGCCGGGAATCGAACCCGGGCCGCCTGGGTGAAAGCCAGGAATCCTAACCACTAGACCACATTGGAAGCTGACAGATGAGGGAAATGTAAAACGAGTTACCACTAGACTTTATTCCTATTGTGCGTGTGAAAGTTGGTGTTGTAGATTAGGATGTTTAAGACATGACGAGCTGACATTAATAAATATCTTCTTTGTATCATGAGCTAGCTTGAAGTTGATATCAGCATATTGTAGCAGGTATTTGCGCTCACAGTGTTCATCTGTAAAACGTGAAAGGGAGAAATATCAGTCATTCAAGTTGACAAAACACAAGTGCGTCCCTGGGTGGGCTCGAACCACCAACCTTTCGGTTAACAGCCGAACGCGCTAACCAATTGCGCCACAGAGACCGAACTGATATGTATGGAGTGACTTTGAGATGTGACTGGTGTCGCGGAAGTGAAGTACTGTTGAAGAAGGGAAAGTCTCATGGTGCGTTCCATCTCTGAATTTCCAGGCGGTGGATTGTGTTGCACAATAACACACTGGCTGACTTGATGCATTTACTGGAAGATGTGGACGTTAGGTCATCGACGACTTACATGGATGACTAGAAATGCATGCTTTTTACTTATGATTGTGAAAATGAGAAAAGTATAATTATTCAAGTTGAGCTCATTTTCTTGTCAGATGGAAAAGAAGTTGTTCCAATGCCGGGAATCGAACCCGGGCCGCCTGGGTGAAAGCCAGGAATCCTAACCACTAGACCACATTGGAAGCTGACAGATGAGGGAAATGTAAAACGAGTTACCACTAGACTTTATTCCTATTGTGGGTGTGAAAGTTGGTGTTGTAGATTAGGATGTTTAAGAGATGACGAGCTGACATTAATAAATATCTTCTTTGTATCATGAGCTAGCTTGAAGTTGATATCAGCATATTGTAGCAGGTATTTGCGCTCACAGTGTTCATCTGTAAAACGTGAAAGGGAGAAATATCAGTCATTCAAGTTGACAAAACACAAGTGCGTCCCTGGGTGGGCTCGAACCACCAACCTTTCGGTTAACAGCCGAACGCGCTAACCAATTGCACCACAGAGACCGAACTGATGTGTATGGAGTGACTTTGAGATGTGACTGGTGTCGCGGAAGTGAAGTACTGTTGAAGAAGGGAAAGTCTCATGGTGCGTTCCATCTCTGAATTTCCAGGCGGTGGATTGTGTTGCACAATAACACACTGGCTGACTTGATGCATTTACTGGAAGATGTGGACGTTAGGTCATCGACGACTTACATGGATGACTAGAAATGCATGCTTTTTACTTATGATTGTGAAAATGAGAAAAGTATAATTACTCAAGTTGAGCTCATTTTCTTGTCAGATGGAAAAGAAATTGTTCCAATGCCGGGAATCGAACCCGGGCCGCCTGGGTGAAAGCCAGGAATCCTAACCACTAGACCACATTGGAAGCTGGCAGATGAGGGAAATGTAAAACGAGTTACCACTAGACTTTATTCCTATTGTGCGTGTGAAAGTTGGTGTTGTAGATTAGGATGTTTAAGACATGACGAGCTGACATTAATAAATATCTTCTTTGTATCATGAGCTAGCTTGAAGTTGATATCAGCATATTGTAGCAGGTATTTGCGCTCACAGTGTTCATCTGTAAAACGTGAAAGGGAGAAATATCAGTCATTCAAGTTGACAAAACACAAGTGCGTCCCTGGGTGGGCTCGAACCACCAACCTTTCGGTTAACAGCCGAACGCGCTAACCGATTGCGCCACAGAGACCGAACCGACGTCAATGGTGTGAAACACTGGCACAATACACACATAATAATACACTGGCTGACTTGTCGCATTTGCTGGAAGATGCGGACGTCAGTTCACTTAAATTGATGACTAGAAATACATGCCTTCCAGGCCTATCAATGTATGTAAGAAGAGGAGATTAGTTGTTTTGAATTGAGTTGAGGTGAGTGGTTTGTAAATAATCGAGTCTGTTCCAGACAATCCAGTGATTAACATCATGAGCTTGGATCTAAGACCAAATCAGCGAGCTTAAGCACCCGATGCCGTTTGTCGCCCCTTACGACAACTATATGCATTGGTTGCTGAAGACTTATTATAACCGGGGCATTCCGGGGGTGAGGCGTTGATGACATGCCTGGTTTCTTCAGTGTTTGACAGACACACACACACACACACACACACACACACACACACACACACACACACACACACACACACACACACAACTACACACACACACACACACACACACACACACACACACACACACACACACACACACACACACACACACACAACTACACACACATATATACTCACACATCTACACACACACACACACATGTATCGTCATGACATATGGGTCATAAATCAACAATATAGGTCTTGATTTTTGTCACTTGCGGAGAACATGTGTTTAACATACTGTCGGATAAACCGTCTGTGTCAACCCAAATTAAATAAAAAGAACAACTTTCCTGTTTAATTATATACGATTTATTTAGTAAAAATATAATATCTGTTCAAATTAACATATTAGTGTATAAAGACATGATTTTTGTGAGGAGCATACATATTTTACAATGACGTAATATCAAGTAGGGCAAACACCTGTTACATGGAGGGGAACATACAGGTTAGGGGCCAAATGTATTGCATTGTTCAGTGCAGCAGGGTGTATGTAAGGAGGCATTTACATATGCCTCCTTAATTAAATATGTCTTCCTGTCACACGTAATTCTCTGTAAACATCGCAGTGTGTCTTCCGTGTATCTACCGCGTATTTACTTGATCCACATATTCATACAGATGCGTCAGCAGCACACACCCCTTTGCCTGGGATCCAGCTAGACATAGATTACAAGACAGACCTAGGCTTTGTAAAACGAAAGATACCAATTCCGAATCTACTTTCGCTTCCTTTTACATTATGCAGACCACAGACGTATATGTACAAGAATAATTATCAAAGAAAACTAACTGGGTTGGTCTGCATTACATGTAAAATGTTCTCTGTCTATTGGTAAGTCTATCTTTGAGAGTTCATGACGCCATCCCTTAGATACACTGTTTCTCGTCGCGATTTCGTGAAGCTAACTACAAAAGCAGAAATAATTGAAAAATGCTTGGTTAACATAAATGTGGTAACATACGATGTAGGCGGTATAACGTATTCGTTATAACCAATACACATATAGGCGGCATAACGTCTATGTCATAACCAATACACATGTAGGCGATGGAGTTGTCTATATACACGCACTGGCTCCTTAAACACAGGATCACTTTCGGGGAAATGAACGTCTTTGATTTCAGCTGCAACGGTACTGCGCGTACAGGAGTTTGGCACGCACCTGTTCTTTCATGAAGTTCCCTCGCCAACTGAAATAATCAAATCGTTATATTATTATGGGGTATTTTCTGGTGTCAAAAGTTCAGTTAGCAGACAATCGGACCTTGAAGTTAATGTTTATTCATGCGACATATGAAATATGCCTTAATTAGGACCTATTTTCATGACACAGGCAACCTTTGACTGAAACAATTGAAACAATCCCCTCTGAAAAACATTGGCGCTTAAATAGTTAGGAAAATCCATTTGTATGTAGCGCCCATAAAACTCCTGAGTCTCTGGTTGGTATTCGAAACACGGCCTTCTCGACTGTGATCAGACGACTTGTCTATATGAATATATACCAATCTAAATTTGCTAAGGAAGAAATAAATTAGAAGCCAAGATACAGCTGCAAGCTGTTATGGTATCTTGATGATGAGTTGTTCGTATTATCAACAGTTTACCCAAGAAAGTATACCATTCAATGTCATTAGTGGCATGTTTATTTTTCATCGACAGACTACTGTCTTAATAGTCCTCTTTTGTCAAAGGTGTGGTGCTTAGCACATGATGAGTAGTATATGTATTCAATCGTTCACGTTACCGGAATGACCACGTACCAATTTATGTGTCAGGCGCTTCAATGATATCCACATCGGTCATGTTGCCGTTTACGAGGACACCGCATTCTAGAAAGTGGTCGTACGTTTCCCTGTCGACGACTAACATCCTTGTTTCCTGGGGAACAGCCACAACCTTTTCCACAAGCTCGTTCTGAGTGTCATTCTCCACATTGGCGCCGTTCACCTCGATAATCCGGTCGTTTCGACGCAGTCCCGCAGCCTCGGCAGGGGAGTCGGGGTCGACCTTCCCGATGAAGATGCCCTTGACTCCCTCCTCTGACTGGAGATAGAAGCCGTATCCGTCAAACGTTTGCCATTTCTTGAGGTGACACAGGCGGGCCCTGTATCCACTATTGTTGTTTGCGGACTGGGATTCTGTGGGGAACAGCAAGACAAGATGGTTAAGCAGCTTGGCAAATGTGTTGCTTTTTAACTTAGGAAAGCAGTGCGTTTGGCGGGTGTTACCAGTCGAGCTGGACACACATACGCTTTATTCTTGGGCGTATAATGTTATACTTCAATCTTAATGTCATAACCATGTAATCTCTACTTCAAGCCTACCAAAATGAAAAACCTAAGATGTGTCCTAACAAACATACGTGTGTGTTATTTGTGAAATATGCATACAAAGTTATAAATAGCTGAACAATCGATTTTGAAGGTGTTAAAATAATTGCCTGACCAGCAAACAGCTCTTGAGACAATAACATAAACCGAATAAACATACCATCGACAGGGATGGACTACCTGATATCGAAAACGCATTTAGAATAATAGAGATGTCCTTCGGAAATATGGTAATGCAATTTATGTAATAAATATAACGTTGGGAGATAACATACGTGTAAAAGGTGGCCATTCCTCGTCGATCTTACCACTATGTTTAGTGCTTTAAACGTACAATGATCAAATGTACTGAAGCTATCATAAAATCCCATTCACGTATTTCAGACTATGACATAAGGAGTCACTGTTTCCAATATTTCGTATTTATTGAATCCATATAGATATAAATGCCACAATGTCCACCATTGTAGTGAGTGAGTGAGTTGGGTTTAACGCCGCTTTTAACAGTATTCCAGTTATATCACGGCGTAACACCACAAATATGTGAATAGCTATGCGAATAGCTCGACCAGATGTGTCAAGAGAAATGAAGACTCGGTTCCTCGCAACAACAAATTGCTTCGGATGGACTAAAATTTTATATAAAAAAAGTTTGATTATTCCATAAACCAAGGCTTCAAACATAACATAACATATTACAAGTGCTTCATTCAAATTTCTGCGAGTTTCCCCAGGACCGTTTTTTCTCTGAACAGTTGCCTCTGAAGAAAATGTTTCTTATTGCCAAGTAACATTCCACAGAAATAATCATCTACAGAAGTAACGCGTCACAGAAACAATCATCTACTGAAGTAACGCGTCACAGAAACAATAATCTACTGAAGTAACGCGTCACAGAAGCAATCATCTACTGAAGTAACGCGTCACAGAAGCAATCATCTACTGAAGTAACGCGTCAGAGAAGAAATCATCGACTGAAGCAACACGTCAAAGAAACAATCATCTACTGAAGTAACCCGTCACAGAAACAATCATCGACCGAAGTAACGGGTCACAGAAACAATCATCTACTGAAGTAACGCGTCACAGAAACAATCATCGACCGAAGTAACGCGTCATTGTGATCGTCTACTTACGTATCATAGGGGCTGGAACAGGGGCTGGAAAAGGGATTTCCCTGTCCGGGTTGGTTGAATAAACAACATCCGCCATGGAGCCAGAGATCTGGATGTTTTGTCTCCTGAAGTAGCGCTCCGCCTCAGGATCCACCACCAGGAGCCTTGTCTCATTGACGTTGCCGTCCACTCCAATCTGGATGTATCTGATGGCGCCTGGCTGCTCCTCGCCCTCAACGTTGACACCGTTGATCTCGATGATTTTGTCGCCGTCCCGCAATCCGGCTGCGTCTGCTGGCGACCCCGCATCAATGTTGGTGATGAAAGTGCCCGGGACGCCCCTCTCCCCATGCAGGATGAAGCCGTACCCAGTGAAATCTGGCCACTTCTTCACATGACATAATCTCACTTTCGCAGTTCCAGTTGTCGCTGAAATATACGAAATAACAAGTATTGAAAGTACCATTCACGATCACCCTATATACTGATGGTAACAGTTTATGCATCGTCGTTGCTCCCCAGGTGACCCGTGAAGATCCGGGATAGAATTGGTCTTCAGCAACCCATGCTTGCCGTGAAGGGCGACTATGCTTGTCGTAAGAGGCGACTAACGGGATCAGGTGGTCAGGCTCGCTGACTTGGTTGATGGATGTCACCGTATCCCAATTGCGTGGATCGATGTTTATGATGTCAATCACTGGATTGTCTGGTTCAGACTCGATTATTTACAGACCTCCGTCATATAGCTGGAATATTGCTGAGTGCGGCGTTAAACAACAAACAAACAAAAAACGAAACTTTCCCGGTTTGGTATACACCACATTCCCCACACACTGAACACGGCACACGTTGGTGCATCCTGGATGGGAACAATATGCAATGGACATTCTTCAAGAATGTATGTGACTGTTGTGCATCGGCGGTGCCAGAATGGTGTGAAATAGCATGGTTGGGCGTTATGACCTATCTGTCGATGGTAACTGGCAGAGATTAACCTCAGAGTATACCAAATGAAAAGAGACATGGTAGCAAGCAGAACATTTCTTCATTACAGCCTTTAGAGTTTCATTGACCCACTTATAACGAATTTCTTTGGGTAAAAACTACTCCCTATTTTTTTCTTTTCAGTTTACGATGCAAAATACATGATAAGCATGTCTATTTACTTCTAAATACCTGATGGTTCTTCAGAAACTGATAAAAATGTACCATCTGCTTCCAATTCAACAATCACGACATAACTTGTCGAGAGGTTACCATGGATCAATTTTGTAGTAAATATTTCGGGTTTTTTTTATTCAATTAAGAAGTCTCATTGAACACGCTCTCGGTTATACACGAAGTAACAAGGGGCGGTGGTAATACCCGGATTTCCTTAATGAACGTTGATCAAGATCAGTAAGATGAGAGAGTAACGAAATAACGACTGCGGTAGGTTGTTTGCGATCATGGCTATCTAATAACGAAATATGACGGGAGGACGCTCTCATGCTAGGAGCGTGGATAGGATATTCACCTCGGGCAGTTATGCAGGACATAACAATAACTCCTTACGACATGTAATTCTGGTTGAATCATGAAATTAATTATAATGTCCAATTAACAATGCATAATCAGGCACAGTTGTTCTGCAGGGATATCTTAACTGTCAAAGCAGCCTAGGCCTAGTGCAGAAATAGTTCACCCAGAAAAGAAAGACTTAGTCTCATTCAGAAATATATAACGCAGATAAACAAGTCTGGGCTAATGCAGAAATATATTACGCAGAAAAGAAAGCCTGAGTTTGATTCACAGATATCCTACTCCTTACCAGTCAAGCAAGTGTAGAGGGAGAGAAATACGCTCGCTATGTCAAATATACTTGGGTACATAAGGCAAGGAATGTCTAGAGTTTCATGAATTAGATTTCATTTCGTGTACCTAGTTTTATGTGTAGAGGCAAGTCCAGATATCGCATATTTACAGGCAACAAAGCAAGTCTACATGACAATGCGGCCCAAGGCTATACAGTCACCGCTGCAATATAAGCTTCACACAAACAGGTTTTACCTGCGACGGCTTCCAGTCACTCACAATACCCCTGTCCCCATGGTCTCCTGGGCTGAAGAGAACTTCTATATAGGTCACAATTTAGTCACAGCGGTATCTTCCTTCATGGGTTGATGTATACGTGGATTCGCATATACATACGAGCATATGAAAAAAGGCTCTCGGGGTTAAAATCGTCGACTTGTAATGCAGGTTTGAGGTGCAGTCAGCTAAAGTGTAATTGTAGGTGGGTGTGCCTGCGAGTGCAGGTTGCTATGTAATGCACTATGATGACTATACTGTTTGTGTTCCATTGTACGCGCCACCGGCGGTCGTTATTCGCCAATGTTTGATCTTAAGTCTTCAGGTTGTGTGTACCCGTGTATTTCGTGTATTCTCGGGCTTTAGAGGAAAATGGGATCATAGTTTAAGGTATTCAGCTGTGTGTCGAGTGGGATATTCAGAAGTGGGTTGGGGTTGGCTGTTTGGCGTGTGTTAGTGTGGCTATATTTTGATGTGTATTGATGGTTAGGGGTTATTTGCGCGGGGGGGGGGGGGGGGGGGGGGGGGGGGGGGGGGCGTGTGATAGTGTAGGGGTATATTGGCGTGCGTAAGTGTGTGGGTATTTGGGCGTGTGTTCGTGGACGTTATTTGGGCGTGTGTTAGTGTGGGATGTTTCGGCGTGTGTTAGTGTGGGGTGTATTTCGGCGTGTGTTAGTGTGGGGTGTATTTCGGCGTGTGTTAGTGTGGGGGGTATTTCGGCGTGTGTTAGTGTGCGATGTATTTCGGCGTGTGTTAGTGTGGGGGTATTGTGTCGTGTGTTAGTGTGGGGGTATTTCGGCGTGTGTTAGTGTGGGGTGTATTTCGGCGTGTGTTAGTGTGGGGTGTATTTCGGCGTGTGTTAGTGTGGGGTGTATTTCGGCGTGTGTTAGTGTGGGGGGTATTTCGGCGTGTGTTAGTGTGCGATGTATTTCGGCGTGTGTTAGTGTGGGGGTATTGTGTCGTGTGTTAGTGTGGGGGTATTTCGGCGTGTGTTAGTGTGGGGTGTATTTCGGCGTGTGTTAGTGTGGGGGGTATTTCGGCGTGTGTTAGTGTGGGGGGTATTTCGGCGTGTGTTAGTGTGCGATGTATTTCGGCGTGTGTTAGTGTGGGGGTATTGTGTCGTGTGTTAGTGTGGGGGTATTTCGGCGTGTGTTAGTGTGGGGTGTATTTCGGCGTGTGTTAGTGTGGGGTGTATTTCGGCGTGTGTTAGTGTGGGGGGTATTTCGGCGTGTGTTAGTGTGCGATGTATTTCGGCGTGTGTTAGTGTGGGGGTATTGTGTCGTGTGTTAGTGTGGGGGGTATTTCGGCGTGTGTTAGTGTGGGGGGTATTTCGGCGTGTGTTAGTGTGGGGTGTATTTCGGAGTGTGTATTCGGGCTCATGGTTTTACATGAAATAATATCTGGCGTTGTAGCTGTAGCTGAAATAATACCAAATCTGGCCTGAATATCAAACTCGTCGGTCCCTTATGTGTATGCTGGTGTGGGACATCCCGTTGAGGGTAAGTATGGGAGCTCCAGATGGAGATCTTCAGGTATGTAAAGTGTGAGATCTTCAGGTGTGTAGAGTGTGGGTCTTCAGGTGTGTAAAGTGTGGGGTCCTTAGGTGTGTAGAGTGTGGGTCTTCAGGTGTGTAAAGTGTGGGGTCCTTAGGTGTGTAAAGTGTGGGTCTTCAGGTGTGTAGAGTGTGGGTCTTCAGGTGTGTAAAGTGTGTGTCTTCAGGTGTGTAAAGTGTGAGATCTTCAGGTGTGTAGAGTGTGGGTCTTCAGGTGTGTAAAGTGTGAGTCTTCAGGTGTGTAAAGTGTGGGTCTTCAGGTGTGTAAAGTGTGGGTCTTCAGGTGTGTAAAGTGTAGGTCTTCAGGTGTGTAAAGTGTGGGTCTTCAGGTGTGTAAAGTGTGGGTCTTCAGGTGTGTAAAGTGTGGGTCTTCAGGTGTGTAAAGTGTGGGGTCTTCAGGTGTGTAAAGTGTGGGATCTTCAGGTGTGTAAAGTGTGGGATCTTCAGGTGTGTAAAGTGTGGGTCTTCATGTGTGTAAAGTGTGGGGTCTTCAGGTGTGTAGAGTGTGGATCTTCAGGTATGTAAAGTGTGAGATCTTCAGGTGTGTAGAGTGTGGGTCTTCAGGTGTGTAAAGTGTGGGGTCTTCAGGTGTGTAAAGTGTGGGTCTTCAGGTGTGTAAAGTGTGGGATCTTCAGGTGTGTAAAGTGTGGGCCTTCAGGTGTGTAAAGTGTGGGATCTTCAGGTGTGCAAGTGTGGGTCTTCAGGTGTGTAAAGTGTGGGATCTCCAGATGTGCAAGTGCGGGATCTTCAAATGTGTATGTGTGGGTCTTCAGGTGCGTTAATATGTAATCTTCAGGTGTGTATGTGTGGGTCTTCAGGTGCGTTAATATGTAATCTTCAGGTGTGTATGTGTGGGTCTTCAGGTGCGTTGATATGTCACCTTCAGGTGTGTAAGTGTGGGACCTTCAGGTATGTTACTGAGGAATCTTCAAGCGTGCTAGTGTATGATCTTCAGCGGTGTTAAACTTCGGCATATGTATGTCTTAGAATCGTGGAAGTTTACCTGAGACTCTTCAGGAATGTGTAATAATTTGTACAAATCCTCCATGTGTCAATGTGGTAGTTTGTCATCGGTTAGTCATGGGCCTTGTGACGCTGTCAAGAGCATCCTAAATATACAACTTGGAAGATTTGTGCCTCTGGCAGTGAATGTATTTTGGTTTCATCCGCTGTCCATCACTGTAATATATGTTCCACATTCTTTCATGTATATGATTTACAATACATGTTTTAAAATAACCAGCCAATCAAATAATTTGAGTAAGCGACCAGGACGCACTCTATGTTAGGTAGAAGCACGGGTGTTAATAGTAAACGACAAACTACGACTCAGGTCAAGAAATGTAATTTCTGTTGCCTCTAGTTATCGTCTGGTTACATTGTTGATCTAATATAAACAGCAAAGACCTGCAATAAATATACAAAACCTTGCAACCATAGTTAGCACATGTTTCTAATTGAGAGACGTTTCTTGTTGTAGTTTATTTTCTGTGTTTATATAATGTGAACAGTCCGTCTATGCAAGCTACCAACAGAGCATTTCATGTCAAGTTTCCTGCATTCAATCCCTCGGCAAAGCTATTACGTGAGTGAGTATGTAATTACGCCGCTTTTAACAATATTCAAGCAATATCACGGCGGGGGAAACCAGAAATGGGCTTCACACATTGTACCCATGTGGGGAATCAATCCCGAGACTTCAGCGAGACGAGCGAACGCTTTAACCACTATGCTACCTCACGGCCCCCACCGCCCCGGGGCTTACGGTAGGAATATGGAGTATTTCATGGAATATTTGACGCATCGGTGACCTTCTTTTGGCTTGTGTCATTTGTTCCCGTGTGTTTTTCGGGTAAACAATAGACTTACCTTTCACATGCGTTTGATCACCTGACAACATCACTATTGGATAGTGATTCATAAATCTATGTTCATGATATAGTCGGAATAGTACAATTCTGCTTTTAGCAGAGACTTCTGATGAATATAGAAAGGGTTTTTATTCAGTGACTACATCCACGTACCTGGCACCAGCGCCCTTGGGGGTGTCTCGATCCGGTCTATGTCCACCATCGAGCCATGCACTGACACGCTATGGCCTCGGAAGAAGCGGAGTGCGTCGGGGTCGACCACCAATACGGTAGCCTGGCCAGGAGTCGGACCATTGGCGATCCTGCCCACTACCTGCTGCTGGAACTCGCCCTCAACATTGACGCCATTCACCTCCACCACGCGGTCTCCCTGTCGCAAACCCGCCGCCTCGGCAGGGGAACCACTCTCCACCTTGCCGATGTTCTGCCCGGGTTCGTCCTTGTCGCCATGCAGGACGAAGCCGAAACCCTGGTAGTCAGGCCACTTCTTGATGGTGCACAGTCGGGCCTTGAAGGGACTCGGCTCTGAATGGTTGACTGGAAAACAACAAATAAATGCAATGGAGATACTGCCGACACGGCATAATGTACAGGTGGACTGGAAAACGATACACAAACACAATATTGCTACCGCAGACATAGCTTATGGTATTATCACGTAAATGATTTTCACATTTATGGCGTACCATGCAAAATTCAACTCGGTATTTCGCGGCATACCATCTGTAATCCAGTTGCAATCAACGTTACTGTTTATGTCACTCTTTATTTTCTTTTGTCCAGCCAGGCTGTATACCGTTCAGTAAGTTGGGTTTAATGCTTAGAACAGTATTCCAGTTATATCACGGAGTGCGGCTTAATATGGGAGGAAAACCCGAAGTGACGCGTGTCGTAGACATTAACCACTTTTCTGACACCCACGAGCATGGGTATGGTGCTGACACGCCAAGCTCAAGGTCCATAATCAGGTGGAATTCGAACCAGTGGTCTTCAGATTTTTGCACGTCTAAAGGACGCAACTCTGTATAGGGAATTGTGGATCTTTTGACAATGGATCACAATATTATATCACAATATAATGCATTGAGTATATCAAGATTATCAATCTGTTTCTGGCATTAAGAGTGGACATCTTTAACTCGGCTTGCACACTCTATGCCAATTGTTATGGCGACAGATAAAGATTTTAGATAAGATTTAATTATTCTGAAAACAGCATTACGCCAAAGTTCATCGCTTATGATGTGTTCTCAACTACGATTGCCGCAACGGCAACCACGGAGACCATTCAAAACGGCGTCAGAGTGAGGCAGTGACATAAGCTACGGTGGAACAAATTATTAACATTGTCATCAGTATGCCTTCACTGACAAATAATAACATTAACATATTGCAGATCACGATCTGAAATCGCAATTTTTCAGAATCTTTCCACTGAAACGAGCTCGTTTGCAACCAACAGACACATGGTATAAAACATTTCTATGCAGCTTGACATATTATCTTCACTAACTCGACAATATGGTTTATAGAGCAGGGCGTATGTCTCCTGCATGTTTTCGACATCCATCACTTTACTTTATATGGAGTTTGTTAGTCATTTCTTGCGTTGTCCATTTCCCCAAATCGTCCCGAAACTAAGAGATACGTGTACTGGTACTGATGAACAGTAAACTACGGTTATAACGAACTCAAATGGACCACTCACTTTAGTTCGTAATAACCGTAGTTCGTTATAAGCATATATACAGCATTACTACCACAAATTGTCGGGACAATAAAGTAAGTGCGTTATGTCCGTCAGTTCGTTATAAGCGTGTTCGTTATAAACGTAGTTTACTGTATATAATACTGGTGTCGTCGGTGAAAAGTCAAGAAAAACTATTTTTGCAGATATTTATAGACAGTATTGCCAACGTTGTTAAACCTTATAGACTAGTTTTCAAATACTTCACGCTCCACGTAATCAACAAAACAGCGAACGCCATGGACGTCTCACATATGGGAAGCGGGGCGAGTATGGTTGCCACAATGATAGACATGTCATTAACTTTTAAAAAAAAATTGTACACAGTATTAAACATGTTGCCACAAAAGCAGGTCTTCACATTGTATTGTGAGAACTCCTATTCAACCATGTACCCGAGGTAGTCATGCTCACCTTCCACAATAACGTCTGCTGCTGTGCAGGCCATGGCTGTAGTTTGAATGAGAGACTGTCTTGTTATCAACCATATGCACAGTGACAGCTTCCTCGGAGCTATGAGGCAGTGTTGGACAGTCTGTGGAGCAGTTACAGTTGTGGGTGGGGCGTAGAGTGTAATGTGCTAAGTGTGTGAGGTCTTGTCAAGTATCTACCCAATCCCCGTTTCATCTAAAGACGAGCTACTTCAGACACACTCTGCAAATACACTCCCACGTCAACACTGCCCAGGGATAAGGAGGTTTATAAGTCTTTTTTCGACCTGAATTTTCTGATTTAATCATATCAACGGTGTCAGCGTTTCTAAATTATGTACATTCAAAATAGGCAGTAGGTATACGTATGGTTCGTCAGTTAATGAGGGATCACCTTCGTTCGTCTTGACAAGTCACACAATGGCCTAGTGTTTGACATGCTACAAGTGTCCGGTCACATCGCGTCACATTAGGCAAAGGGTTTTGTACTGAATGTAACGTGCCTCTCATTAAAGGGAAGGCCACTCCCTGTTGTCATGAAATGTCATTCGCCTATTCAGCAGTGTAGGAAAAGTTGGAGTTTCTTCATTTGATACTGATGAAGAGCAATCACAAGGATTATTTCGTTGGTCATCAAAATGAGATCATGACATTATCCCGAGACAATCTTCCTCCAGGATAATGTTATAGAAGCATGACATGGGTCAAGTTATTTCCCAATATGAAAATATTCTGGAAAGACATTAGCACTCTTGAAACCTTCACATATTTATAACGTTGTACAGGGCGGCCAGCCAACATTTGCAGCTTGATGGAATCCATATTGTAAGGAAACTTGTCATTATAGCAATTTGGAGTACCGGTATGTCAACAATCGCAAAGAAATGAAACATGCCGACACGCTAAGAATATGCGAGGCGTCAGTAAAGAAAAGAGATAACGCGGCGTCACTACAGAGATTACATCAACCAGGAAACTAAGGAGAACTGCAGATTTATTATATTGCAATAAAATATGAACATACAATCACTTCAAGGAGTGAACAGGGAAGCACTGCAGAGACTTAACACGAACGCACTGCAGGGAGTGAACGTGGAGCCATTGCAGAAAATGAACATACAAGCACTGGTAGAGAGTGAACACGAAGGCACTGCAGGGAGTAAACACGAAGGTATTGCCAAGAGAGAACATGCAAGCACTGCAGAAAGTGAACACGAAGGCACTGCAGGGAGTAAACATGTAGGCACTGCAGGGAGTAAACACGAAGGCACTGCAGAGAGTAAACACGAAGGCACTGCAGAGAGTAAACACGAAGGGACTGCAGAGAGTAAACACGAAGGCACTGCAGAAAGTAAACACTAAGGCACTGCAGGGAGTAAACACGAAGGCACTGCAGAAAGTAAACACCAAGGCACTGCAGGGAGTAAACATGAAGGCACTGCAGGGAGTAAACACGAAGGCACTGCAGGGAGTAAACATGTAGGCACTGCAGGGAGTAAATACGAAGGCACTGCAGGGAGTAAACATAAGGCACTGCAGAGAGTAAACACGAAGGCACTGCAGGGAGTAAACACGAAGGCACTGCAGGGAGTAAACACGAAGGCACTGCAGGGAGTAAACAAGAAGGCACTGCGGGGAGTAAACATGAAGGCACTGCAGAGAGTAAACACGAAGGCACTGCAGAGAGTAAACACGAAGGCACTGCAGGGAGTAAACACGAAGGCACTGCAGGGAGTAAACACGAAGGCACTGCAGGGAGTGAACATTGAATCACTGCAGAAAGTGAACATACAAACACTGAACATGAGGGCACTTCAGGGAGTAAACACGAAGACACTGAAGGAGTAGACACGAAAGCACTGCAGAATGTAAACATGGTGGCACTGCAGGGAGTTAACACGAAGGCACTGCAGGGAGTAAACTCGAAGGCACTACAGTGAGTGAACACGAAGGCACTGCAGAGAGTGAACACGAGTGAGTGAGTTTGGTTTTACGCCGCTTTTAGCAATATTCCAGCAATATCACGGCGGGGGACACCAGAAATGAGCTTCACACAGTGTACCCATGTCGGAAATCGAACCCGGGTCTTCGGCGTGACGAGCGAACGCTTTAACCACTAGGCTACCCGACCGCCCCCGAGTGAACACGAAGGCACTGCAGTAAGTGAACATGGAAGCGCTTCAGATAGTTAAAAGAGAAAGGGCAGACAAGGAGATATACACTCGCAACACAACAATGTGAACGTCTGACACGTAGACAATACAACTCCAGACATCTGTGATGAGATGGGGCTTCAATGATGATACAACCCAGGAAACGTGTGGTTAGATGTGGCGTTGGAGATGACACAACCCAGGACATGTATGTTGGGCTTCAGTGATGATACAACCCAGGAGATGTTTGGTTAGATGGGGCTTCAATGATGATACAACCCAGGAAACGTGTGGTTAGATGTGGCGTTGGAGATGACACAACCCAGGAGATGTATGTTGGGCTTCAGTGATGATACAACCCAGGAGATGTTTGGTTAGATGGGGCTTCAGTGATGATACAACCCAGGAGATGTTTGGTTAGATGGGGCTTTAGTGATGATACAACCCAGGAAATGTTTGGTTAGATGGGGCTTTAGTGATGATACAACCCAGGAGATGTTTGGTTAGATGTGGCGTTGGAGATGACACAACCCAGGACATGTATGTTGGGCTTCAGTGATGATACAACCCAGGAGATGTTTGGTTAGATGGGGCTTCAGTGATGATACAACCCAGGAGATGTTTGGTTAGATGGGGCTTTAGTGATGATACAACCCAGGAAATGTTTGGTTAGATGGGGCTTTAGTGATGATACAACCCAGGAGATGTTTGGTTAGATGGGGCTTTAGTGATGACACAACCCTGGAACTCGTTCCACAAAGCGATCTTAGTGCTAAAGGTGATCGTAACTCCCATACTTTATCATAGGCTTACGATCAACGTAGCACTAAGATCGGTTTGTGGAACGGGGCCCAGGAGATGTTTGGTTAGATGGGGCTTTAGTGATGATACAACCCAGGAGATGTTTGGTTAGATGGGGCTTTAGTGATGATACAACCCAGGAGATGTTTGGTTAGATGGGGCTTTAGTGATGATACAACCCAGGAGATGTTTGGTTAGATGGGGCTTTAGTGATGATACAACCCAGGAGATGTTTGGTTAGATGGGGTTTTAGTGATGATACAACCCAGGAGATGTTTGGTTAGATGGGGCTTTAGTGATGATACAACCCAGGAGATGTTTGGTTAGATGGGGCTTTAGTGATGATACAACCCAGGAGATGTTTGGTTAGATGGGGCTTTAGTGATGATCCAACCCAGGAGATGTTTGGTTAGATGGGGCTTTAGTGATGAATCGTGATACAACCCAGGAGATGTTTGGTTAGATGGGGCTTTAGTGATGATACATAACCCACTCGAAACACATCCGCCATCCTAAGTTTTATTTTTTATGTCCACGGAGATAGATCTGTATGGATGTAATTGCCATTCTGGCCTGGATAGATCAAGATCAAAACCGACACGCAATTAGTCTTCTTTTCTATAGGCGGTAAATAGAACATAATTGATCTGCCTGTCAAATAAATGATAATGAGAGTGCATTCTCGTTAGTCAGTATGACCTGCGATAAGCCGTCTGTTGACAGTCTTTAATTGGCGTTTTTGCATGAACCTACATTTGACATGAATCAGTTGGTGTTTGTTGGCCTGGTATCTGGGTACATTCCACATACTTTTACAGTGATTAGACAGGTCTCAATTCACATTTTATTTGAGAAAAGAAGCCACTGATATCTCACCAACACGTCCCAGGTTTATCTTTCATTATTTCAACAACTACGTATTGGAACTTATGTTCAAGAACATCTCGAGTTTGTTCCTTAACTGTGATCAAAACTTCGATTACATCAAAATATCAGCCTTAAGTTAAAACCAATGACTAACTTTTGTCTGAAAATAGTATAAGAAAGCAAACAGATTTTCAGGATAAACAGAATGTATGATGAAAGGAAACAATGGGTTTACACAGGCGTAACTACACCGTGGTTGTGTTCTCAAGGCTGCAGGTGATCAATTGATTACCTGTACGCCCGCGCAGGTAAGCTGGCAGAACAAGTAGGGCAAGATGTGCAGCTACTGAAGCCTGACCATTACTGGTCGGATCAACTGACACCCGGACAATACAGCCGCTATTGTTGTAGACTGGCCCGTTATGTAATAAAGGGCCTGCCTGTTTTGACCTGTTGGTAGCTCCCAACTTGATGTCACCTATAGCTTTGTTTATGGCGCTACTTAATACCGAGGGTAAACAGTGAACACGAGTTGCACCTAATCAAAGCCTGTTTAGAATATGCATCACACCATCACAGACTAGGAATACAAGGACACGGGGCAATGTTTTATGTATAAACCCCTGCACATGTTGTGAATGTGTGTGGCCTATATTTTTCAGAAGGTTGTATGTACGTGTACCGACCTCGTTGTAAGTTCATAACGACATACCCATACCTGGTAATGATAATGGCGGAATATGCCCACCAAAAGATTTGCTCATTTAACGCTCCCGCATCCATACATTAATAATCGATAGCAACCTACCTCCGTTCGACTGATACCCCGTAATAGGGGGAGGTATGTCCCCATCGTCCCCGAGGAACGTATCGGCATCCACAACTTCAGCCTCTATCTCACTTGAACCATTGGTTAATTGCGGTTGGTCTGTGAATCCTGGGTGTTCATCGGGGGGAACCTGGATGTAGATTGTTTCGGGTAGCCCTCCTCTTATCGCTTCGTTGTTGTCACGGTACAGCTGGTCTGTCATGGGGTCTGCCACAAGCAGCTCCACCCGGCCCTTGACCTGCGCCACCATGGCCTGGACATCTGGTAGCGGTAGTCCGTCCACACTTACTCCATTGATTTCATGCACTCTGTCCCCGCTTCTCAGACCGGCCTGCTTGGCCAGTGAGTTGTCCACCACGATACCAGTGTAGCGGTACGGCTCGGATCTTGTAGCAGTTATATTGAATCCAAAGCAGACCACACCCGGTTGTTTCACTAACACAACATGTCTTGGCTTCAACGTCGGCATGGAACTCATCTTGGCGTTGGGAGTTTAATCTTCGCGAATGTAGGTAACTCTCTGTCAACAGTACACGACCCGGTACCCGTGAACCTCCTACTTCTACCACTGGTCTTACGGGTGTTGCAGGGTACGGCAAGTAAACGCCCTCCTAAATAGCGGTGTTCGTAGAGCCCTGTCACACCTGGGTCACGTGACTCCACTCGATATTACAGTTATAACTGAGGGAGTCGAAAAGCGTGTCTATTTTTGAACATTCAGCCAAGCGGTGCGAGCTGGCTGTTCACAATGCCGCGGGTAGGGCGAATATACAGCGAACAAAACCAGTCATGGAGAAACAGTCACCCCGACAGACAGTAGGCTGCATACACTCATGGTATAAACACACAACGTAGCGTTATTCTTGTCACGTCTCCGTGTCAGGGCGTCATAGAATAGAGCATTAATAATTTGTGTATACGCAATTCACAGAGAACTTTTAACGTTTACCAAACGTAGATATTTTTTCGGGACATGTTTAAAACATAAACACCATATTATACCACAAACATGGCAGTCATGTGGTTATCAGGTGACAGGGCGTGATCTTAACCCTTTACATGTTAAAATGTGTATATCTCAATAGAAGGCCAACCTCAACCAATATGAGCCAATCTCGTGTCATATTCTATCGGTTGTGGAGGGAGAGCGAAAGTTAAAGTTCGGGTATATGGAGAAAGTAGGTTTAAGTTTAGACTGATGGAGATTCGGGTGGCTGGGGAGAGTGTGTTTATGCAGCGAAAAACAAGTCGAAAAATGGATTTTATAATTTGAATTGTGTACAAGCTCATATGAGAAGATTCCGACAAAATATGTCAAATAAAAGTCAACGAATTTATTGTCACATGCGAAATACATACAAACATATATGCAAGGTATCAAAATCCAACTGTTAGCATATAAAATGAACAAAACTTAAATCATGTAACTTCTTTCAGTGGCATTTAGAAGTTGGTGTGATGAAGTAAGACGAGTTCTATGGATGAACAACTTCATTATTACAATTAGTGCGACGTTTCGGTGTAGATAAACCTTTCAATTCTTATCAAGACTTGCTTGATAAAGGTGTTAGGATCTACACCGAAACGTCGCACTAATTGAAATAAAGAAGTTGTTCATCCATAGAACTCGTCTTACTTTAAATCATGTAGTTAGGACTCATCTATGTTTTGAAAAGAATTGAAAGGTTTATCAAGTCCGGGTGACCGGAGTAATGCGATTGATAAAAACTGTTGGTTTCAGTATTTTAAGAATGTATTTCATAATTTTGATGAAATTAGAGAGAATAGCGATACTACCGACCATGTAGAATCTTCTTTAGATTTTATTAAAACATGCATTCCGGAGTCGCCCATCACGGGTCAAGAGAATCAGGCAGCAATTATACATATAAAAAATGGCAAGTTCCCTGGACATGACGATATTATCATAGAAATGTTAAAATGTTCTGAGCCTGTCATATTTGCATTGTTACTTATTTTATTACACAAGTTATTTCATTCTGGTGTATTTCTTGAGACCTGGATAAAGGCAACCACAATTCCCTTACATAAGTAGGGCAACAAACAAAATCCTGATAATTACAGAGGAATATCTCTTTTATGTGTAGTAAATAAAATGTTTACCTTCATTTTAGATACCAGACTTACAACTTGGCAAATGTTGGAGGTAAAGTAACAGAAACCCAAGCTGGTTTTCTACAGGGATATTCTGCAACGGGTCACAAACATGTTTATCAAAGAAGAAAAATAGAAACTCTATGTTGCGTTTCTTGACTTTAGAAAGGTATTCAACTCTGTTAATCGTATTAAGCTTGGAATTATTTATTCGCATCTGATTTAAGCAGGAAAATGTTAAGAACCTTTAAAACCAACTATGCCTCGGTGAGTATTTTGACTGTCCTGTTGGTCTAAAACAAGGCTGTATAGCAAGCCCTCTTTTATTCTCCTTCTTTATCAACGAATTATCTATGGACGGTATATACAATGACAAATATGGGGTACAATTATTCCCTGATGTACTTGAAACCTTGTTGTTGATATTTACAGATGATGTTATACTTGAATCTGATGTAGCATCTGTGATACAGAAACAACTTAATATATTAGAATGTTATGCGGATATATGGGGTCTGACAGTAAATTTAGAAAAGACAAATATTGTGGTATTTAGAAGAGGTGGATTTTATGGAGAAATGAAAAATGGTTTTATGAAGGTGAAGGGGAATGGCAGGGGAGACTATTTACAGATTCGGGTGGATGGATAGAGTATGTTCAGGTTCAGATAGATAGATAGATAGATAGAGAGAGAGAGAGAGAGAGAGAGAGAGAGAGAGAGACAGAGAGAGAGAGAGAGAGAGAGAGATAGTTGGATAGAGAAAGAGAGATATGTACAGATAGATAGATATAGAGAGTTCTATATATAGAGAGAGTTAGATAGAGAGAGAGAGAGAGAGGGAGAGAGAGAGAGAGAGAGAGAGAGAGAGAGAGAGAGAGAGAGAGAGAGAGAGAGAGAGAGAGTTGTACCACCCTGAAAACATTCAACTGTTTATAGTATTTAGAATATATCTATATTTGAATGTGAACTGTATTTAACAGATATTAGCTCTGTATGTTATAATAAAGCTTTGTTAAAATTGAAATCATGAATGAATTCTCTTGGAATAAAAAACTTCCGTAAAGCTAAATGTGACTTATATGATCCTGAATTCTCGTGTTAAACCTGTTTTGTAATAGAAGTGAGTGAGTGAGTATGGTTTTACGCCGCTTTTAGCAATATTCCAGCAATATCACGGCGGGGGACACAAGAAATGGGCCATGGAGGCCATGTATTATTACAAACGTAATTTGCACTTGCAAGAATATTCAGATAATTCTAATTCTATGTTGGCTGAAGTAAACTTATGTACATCTTTAAATTCACAAACATTGCTCAAGTTGTCAAAGATTTTGTACAAAGTTCTTTGTATCAAAGGAGACATTAAGATGCACCTATATATGTTAGATATGTGTTATGTACTATGGGTCAGATTGCCTGGAATTCTGAATAAACCGAATCTGAATCTAAATAGAAATTGGGAAAGAGATATTATAGATATTATTAACTGTTTGTCCACGGAACAATCCACCAGCGATAATAGGAATTTTATTCCCTGATCGATAACGTCCCATACACAGCAATGTTTCATTACACTGATCGATGACAACCCATCAGCGTACATTCTGCAGTATTCCCTCATCTACGGTGACCGAGCCAATATACCATGTTCAATGATCCCAGAGGAATGTTTCAGAGGATAATCCAGACCGGTATTCTCTTGCGTTGACTTTTTGCATTATGACTCCTCATGGATAACGGCTCAGCCATTATACTATGCTCTATATTCCCTCATGGATAACGGCTCAGCCAATATACTATGTTCCATATTCCCTCAAGGCTAACGGCTCAGCCAATATACTATGTTCTATATTCCCTCATGGCTAACGGCTCAGCCAATATACTATGTTCTATATTTCCTCATGGCTAACGGCTCAGCCAATATACTATGTTCTATATTCCCTCATGGGTAACGGCTCAGCCAATATACTATGTTCTATATTCCCTCATGGCTAACGGCTCAGCCAATATACTATGTTCTATATTCCCTCATGGCTAACGGCTCAGCCAATATACTATGTTCTATATTCCCTCATGGCTAACGGCTCAGCCAATATACTATGTTCTATATTCCCTCATGGGTAATGGCTCAGCCAATATACTATGTTCTATATTCCCTCATCGATAACGGCTCAGCCAATATACTATGTTCTATATTCCCTCATGGATAACAGTTCAGCAAATATATTATGATCTGTATTCCATCGGCGGTCGGGTAGCCTAGCGGTTAAAGCGTTCGCTCGTCACGCCGAAGACCTGGGTTCGATTCCCGACATGGGTACAATGTGTGAAGCCCATTTCTGGTGTCCCCCGCCGTGATATTACTGGAATATTGCTAAAAACGGCGTAAAACCATACTCACTCACTCTCTTTATTCCATCATCGATAACGGCTCAGCCATTATATTATGTTCTATATTCACTCATCGATAACGGCTAAGCCAATACACAATGTTCTATATTCCCTCATCGATAACAGCTCAGCCAATATACTATGTTCTATATTCCCTCATCGATAACGGCTAAGCCAATATATTATGTTCTATATTCCCTCATCGATAACGGCTCAGCCAATATACTATGTTCTATATTCCCTCATCGATAACGGCTAAGCCAATACACTATGTTCTATATTCCCTCATCGATAACGGCCCAGCCATTATATTATGTTCTATATTCCCTCATCAATAACGGCTCAGCCAATATACTATGTTCTATATTCCCTCATCAATAACGGCTCAGCCAATATACTATGTTCTATATTCCCTCATCGATAACGGCTAAGCCAATACACTATGTTCTATACTCCTTTATCGATAAAGGTTCAGCCAATATACCATGTTCTATATTCCCTCGTCGATAACGGCTTCAGTTAATATACTATGTTCTATTTTCCCTAATCGATAACGGCTCAATTAATACACTATGTTCTATATTCACTCATCGATAACGGCTCAGTTAATATACTATGTGCTATATTTCCTCATCGCTAAAGGCTCAGTTAATACAGTATGTTCTATATTCCCTCATCGATAATGGCTCAGTTAATATACTATGTGCTTTATTCCCTCATCGATAAAGGCTCAGTTAATACAGTATGTTCTATATTCCCTCATCGATAAAGGCTCAGTTAATATACTATGTTCTATATTCCCTCATCGATAACGGCTCAGTTAATATCTTTTGTTCTGTGTTCCCTCATCGATAACGGCTCAGTTAATATACTACTATCTTCCCTCATCGATAACGGCTCAGTCATTATACTATGTTACATATCCCCTCATCTATAACGGCCCAGCTAACATACTACATGTATATTCATGTTAAACTGAGGCATGGTATCTCAGTAGGCTAGCACTATAAATCGGCACCAGTCCGGACCAGTACAGCAGCCACAAACAGAAACACACACGTTCGTGAACGTAGCTATATAAGTGCAATAATCTTGGACGCGACGTTAAACCCCATTTTACCTCATCTCGCCAATATACTATGTTTATATACCCTCAGTGATAAGAC